TACGCTCAGCGTGGCGGGTCACGGGGTACTGCTCGCTGTCCGTACGTCATTCGCACTGGTGCTCGGACTGGTCAGACTTGCGGGACGTTTGGTCACGCAGAGTCCCGCTGCTTTGCCCGTCTAAGCGACACCTGGCGTACGGAGTTTGGCGACGCGGCTGAGCTCCCCGACTGGGTGGAGCTGCTTAGGCTGCGGATAGATATCCATAAACTTGACTATGATGCTATCCTCACTGCCATGTATGCATTGCCTAAAGTGATGAGGGTGACTGTTATCTGTGTGTTCCGCCTGACCCGGGCATTGAGGCTGCTGCTCTAGGTGCTGGTGAGGTTGCTGCTCTAGGTGCTAGTGCGTCTGCTGCCCTAGGTGCTTGTGAGTCTGCTCTCTCAGGTACCACATCGGCTCAGGCCTTACACACCTTCACCCTTGACTCGGGTGCTTCCCGCTCCTTCTTTCGAGACCGCACCACGCTTACGCCGCTTAGTCGGCCAATTGCGGTCTCCCTGGCGGACCCCTCGGGGGGTCCTGTCCTTGCCCACTTCTCCACATGTCTTGCCGTGTCCGGCAGCCCCCTCTGGCACCCTGTCAGGTCTCTACCTCCCCTCGTTCTCTACGAACTTGGTGAGTGGTGCTGATCTACAGGTTGGAGGTTTGACCAGTTCACTCCTACGAGTCAGCGGGTGACCCGCTGTACGTGTGCTCGGACGGGCCGACACTTGGCCACGTTTACCCGTCACCCGGGGTCGAGCTTGTACACACTGACTACTGAGCCTCCTCCGGTTGCTGAGTCTGGTCAGGTAGCTGCGTCGGGTCAGGTGTTAGCTGCAGCGTCCAACTCTGGTCCTGACTCTGCTCCCTGCTCGTGTCGTCTCCTGTCCCACCAGACTCTCCTCTGGCACCATTGCCTTGGTCACCCCTCCTTGCCTCGTCTCCGAGGCATGGCCTTCCGTTACCTTGTCTCTGATCTCCCCCGGTCCCTCCCTCCCCTCCCTCCGGGGCCTGCCCCTACCTGCGACGAGGGGCGGCAGCGCGCCGCCCCTCACTCCTCTGAGTTTCCTCCGAAAGAGGCTCCGCTTCAGACTCTTCACATGGACGTGTGGGGCCTCGCCCGCGTCCGTGGCTAGGGTCATGAGCGTTACTTCCTGTTGGTGGTTGACGACTACTCGCGTTACACCACGGTGTTCCCCTTGCGCAGCAAGTGTGACGTCACTGAGGTGTTGATCGACTGGATCCGCGCAGCTCATCTCCAGCTCCGAGAGAGTTTCGGCTCGGACTTTCCTGTTCTGCGTCTGCACTTTGACCGAGGCGGGGAGTTTTCCTCTGCCCTTCTGGGAGCCTTCTGTCGTGCACAGGGCATCCGCCAGACCTTCACGCTTCCGGCCTCTCCACAGCAAAATGGGATTGCTGAGCGCCGCATTGGCATGGTCATGGACGTCGCTCGTACGTCCATGATCCATGCGGCTGCTCCCCATTTTTTGTGGCCGTTTGCGGTTCAGTACGCTCCGCATCAGATCAACCTTCAGCCCCTGGGTCTCCTTGCCAGAGACCTCCCCCACCTTGCGGTAGACAGGGAAGGTTGGCGATGCGTCTGCGTTTCGTGTCTGGGGATCTCAGGCGTTTGTTCGCAACTTGTCTGCGGACAAGCTGTCCCCCCATGGTGTTCCCTGCGTCTTCCTTGGCTTCCCCCCTGACGCACCTGGTCGGCAGTTTTACCACCCCACCTCTCGTCGTGTTCTGTCCTCCCAGGACGTCACCTTTGACGAGTTGGTGCCTTACTACCGTCTCTTCCCCTACCGCACTGCGCCCCTCCCCCCGCCGCCGCTCTTCCTTGCGCCAAGTCCCCCCCCGGTAGACCCCCTCCCCCCTCAGGGTTCTGCCCCGTCAGGTGTGTCCCAGGTAGACAGGAGTCGAGCGTGTCGAGGTAGCTGTTGACTCTGGTGTTGCTAGGGGTGCTAAGCCTGGGGGTGCTGAGTCTGGGGGTGCGGAGCTTCGGGGTGTTGGGCCTGGGGGTGCGAAGCCTGGGGTTACGGAGCCTGGGGGTGCTGAGCCTGGGGGTGCGGAGCCTGGTGGTGCTGGGTCTGCTCGTGTGGCTTCTGGCGGTGCTGGGTTTGGGGCCCCTTCGGGTGCTTCGTCGAGGCGGGAGCTACCCTCTCTACAGGAGCTGCGCGAGTGGTTTGCCCGGCGCTGGAGCCGTACTGCTAGAGCTGGAGGTGCTGCTGTTACTGCTAACCCTAGGGTCGGCCCTGGAGTTACTGGAGCCACTGGTCCTGGAGGTGCTCGTACTGGCGGTACTGGAGCTGCTGGGCCTGGGGGTGCTGCTGAGGCTGTAGGAGCTGACAGTCCTTGCTGGAGTAGGTGCTGCTGGAGCTGGAGCTGCTGGAGCTGGAGCTGTTGGGGGTGTTGGCGCTGGAGGTGCTGCTGGCGCTGGTGCGTCTGAGGGTCCTGGAGTTGGCGCTGTTGGAGCTGGAGGTGCTGCTGGCGCTAGTGCTGCAGCTGAGGGTACTGGTGCTGTCCCTGCTAGGTTCTGGAGGCGTTGCGCGGCCGCGGCCGTACTTCGTTCCGCTCCGTGAGCAAGTTCTTGGTCTCGCGCCCTCTACTGGTCCTGCTCCTCCCTTAGAGTGTCCACAGTCTGTCCAGTCGCGGTCACAGTTCCAGCATGCCTCCCCGCTGCCTGCTCCTTCTCCCTACACGTGGTCCTACTGGAGGTCTTGCTGAGCGTCGTGAGCCTGCGTCTCGTCCTGCGTCTTCAGTTCGTGCTGCTCGCACTGGTAGTTGTGCTCCGCGTCCGCGTCCTCCTACGGTCCCAGGCACACACCAGATCGCACTGCGTCCTTCCACTGCTCCTCTGCGTGTCCCGTTGCCGTCTCCTCCAGAGTCCTCTCTTCCTGTCCTTGCTGACCCGGTGTCTGACTCTCTTCGTGCTTCCATTCCTACTGTCACCCGTCTCCTAGCTACTGTTGTCACTGACCCTTCCTTTGAGTCCACTGTTGCGTCTGCCTTAGTTGATGAGCTTGTCGACTGTGCTGCTCGCTGTCGTCTCGACTACGCCGCTAGACTTGTTGCTGAGTCTGAGTCTGTCTGTCCTCCGTCCGTCGGGGGTGAGTGTGCTCTTAGCACGGACGTCCTTGAGGACACGCAGGAGGAGTTCCAGTGTTTTGGTGCTGCTTTGCCCCATCTTGTGTCCACGCTGATTGCCCCTGAGGGAGACCCGGATGCACTTGACATCCCGACTCCTCGATCGTACGCTGAGGCGATCGAGGGTCCCTACTCCTCACAATGGCAGTCAGCCATGGACGCAGAGATGGCTTCCTGGAAGTCCACAGGCACCTACGTCGACGAGGTTCCCCCACCTGGGGTGAACATCGTCAGTGGACATGTGGATTTTCAGGGTGAAGCGGCCGCCGGGTTCTCCGCCTGTCTTCAAGGCGCGTTACGTGGCTCTAGGCTTCAGTTAGCGGCAGGGAGTTGACTACTTTCAGACCTTCTCTCCCACCCCGAAGATGACCATTCTTCAGGGTGCTGCTGCAGATAGCCGCTCAGCGCAACTACGAGCTTCACTCTCTTGACTTCAGCACAGCTTTCCTACAGGGCAGCCTGCACGAGGAGATCTGGCTGCGCTGCCTACCTGGCTTCACTGGGTCGTTTCCTCCTAGGTACCCAGTGGAGCCTCCGGCAGCCAGTCTACGGTCTCCGCCAGGCGCCCCGTGAGTGGCACGACACACTGAGGACTACACTTGCGGCTCTTGGGTTTGCTCCTTCTACTGCCGACCCGTCGCTGTTTCTGCGCACCGACACCTCTTTGTCGCCGTTCTACATCCTCGTGTACGTCGACGACTTGGTCTTTGCCACTGCTGACACTGCTGGACTCGCCCACGTGAAGTCCGAGCTGCAAAAGAGACACACGTGCACAGACCTGGGTGAACTGCGCAGCTACCTTGGCTTGCAGATTACCTGGGACAGAGCACGCCACACCATTACCTTGACTCAGTCACACATGGTGCAGCAGGTCCTTCAGCGCTTCGAATTTACGTACTCCTCGCCTCAGGCCACTCCTCTGTCTACTCGCCACCCGCTCTCAGCTCTGCCTTCGGATGAGTCCGTAGATCCGAGTGGGAGGGGGGATATCTCGGCTGATTCTAAGTGAAACTTTCATGCAAAATTTCTTCTAGGGAGCGATTCTCGCGATATCCTCCCGTAAGGAATTAGACTCGATAACAGCTATAATATGAATCTATAAGAAAAGGGGGGTGTTATAGAGAATCATCCCATAAGGGGGGTATAGTACTAACGGGTCGGATATAACACCCACCCCGTATAAGATTCCCGGGGGTGTACAATTACGGGGGGGTGTTTCATCCGGGAGAATACGGTTCTGTGTTCTTCAACGCCTGGAGTTGGTATGCTGATCGGGTTGCTTTCTTTACCGCAAACATTTTGCTTTGTTGGAGCTCTTGCTGGCAACAATCGCGCAATGCGCTAAATATTCCCGCCTCCAATTTTTTTTGCTGACGCGCTTGGTTTCTCCGTTTTGAAACAAACCAGGCGGAACTCGCCGACCAGAGTATTGACGGCTGGGCAAACTTCATTGACGGTCATCTTTTTACTTGACAGCGCCTTTTTTTTTTGCACAGATTCCTAGTATGTGCTGGGGTGGGTGGGAGCAGGGGCGGAAGTTGTTTCGTGCGAGCGAACCGCTTCAACCAAAACGCATTCTTCCCCGCTCGAACCGCATTCTGAATTGCAATTTGCCAATGTTCGACGATACCATCATCGAGAATTGCATAAATTCGTTCTGTTGTTGTTGGTTCCTCACCTCATCATTCCCTAGCAAAAAGATAGTCCCGCATTCGCTCCCCTTCAGTCGCCCCTTGGTTTCTACTCTTACGCTTTCTCGTTTACCACCGTTCCACGCAGAAATACGATTTTTCGAGCGCCGTGAATTGACTCGAAATCCTCCCGCATCGATTCCGCCAAAATCCGGCGACCCTAAACCTCTAATAATGGCAACCCGAGTGTCGTTCGTCGTTGTTCTGCTGGTGGTGGCTGTCGTTGGATTTTCTCGCCCAGCGGCGGCGGCTGTGAAACCGTACTGCCGCTTCTCCGGGAAACTCGTGGTGAACAATCTCGTGACTGGGCTCACGAAGGCTGGGAACTATTCCACCTTAGTCTCCGCGCTCAAGAAAACAGGTGAGAAGAGCGGTGGCGGAAAGAGTCTCTGAGAGCTCGAAGCTGGTAGCTACCCTTTTCGCCTTAGCCGCCTCGCCTTTGCGGCGCCAATAGATATCCTTGTATTCTGGGACGCAGAGGTGGCGGCCGCAAATTCAGTTTGGCGTTTGTAGATTTGATTCAGCTGCTGCAAATTTTGTTTGGCGGCTGCAGATTTATTGTGGCGGTTGTAGATTCGATTCAGCGGCTTAACATCTCGTCCCGCACTTTCGCGCCTCTCGCGTTTCGCCGATCTCAAACCAGCCGTACCGCAGATTGTGCAGTGTCTCACCCTCTCCCCTGCCACCCTCTCCCTGTCACACCCTGTCACACGACCTTCCAGGTCTATCCAAGGATCTTAAGGGCCTCACTAACTGCTACGAGGCGACGTTCTTCGCGCCCAACGACGACGACGCCTCTGCCTCTCACTTCCCCATGCTCTCCCTGTATTTCAAACCTTGCATGTCTTTCCAAGGACCTCAAGGACTTCATCAACTGCTGCGAGGCGACGTTCTTCGCGCCCAGCGACGAACGCGTTCGTTCCTCACTGCCATAACCTTCTCCTACTCATCTCGCTCTTCTGTATGTTTCCCTTCCTAATTGCACTCCGTTCAGGTCTTAACAAGGACCTGAAGGACCTAATCAACTGCTACGAGGCGACGTTCTTCGCGCCGAACGACGACGCGTTCGCGGCGCTCCCGGACCACGCGAAGAACGCGACTTCGAATGCCAAGGTTCTGCGCGAGGTGCTGCTGCTGCACGTGGTGCAGAAGAAAATGCCTGCCGCCGCGTTCAAGGCCCTCCCTCAGGACAAGCAGGTGAGGAACGGTAATTTGAAGCGGTGTTGTGGTGTTGGAATCGGTCATGTGGTGTTTGAAGTGGTGCTGCGCGTGGCGCTCCCGGACGACGCGAAAAACGCGACTTTGGATGCTGCGCGAGGTGCTGCTGCTGTACGTGGTGCAGAAAGAAAAGAACGCCGCTGCGCTCACGGCGCCGCCGCAGGATAAGCAGGTGATGCATCGTAGTTCCACTATATGGTGGGCGGGCTGGGCTCAAGCGGCCCAATTGCGGCGCGTTTTACATTTTTCTTCCATTCGCAGGCATCATGAGGCAGTGATATACTTCCACCGCACCCATGCTCGGAAACAACTCGACCCGTTCTTTCCGCTCTGAACACGCCCAATGTCATGATGGTATTGATGTCCTTCCACCGCACCCAATCCCTCGCAACTTTGTGTTTTTTCCTCCTCACACCCTGTGCAGTTCAAGGCGGCATCCGACGGGTGCAAGGCTCGCCTGGTGAAGGTCTCAGCTGCCGGCGCCGACCCGGTCCAGCTGCAGGCCCTGTACGGCCCGGAGGAAGCTTCCGTAGTGGCTCCTGACGTCATCTCGCTGCGAGTGATGCAGGTGCACGGGGTGGACACGGTAATTCTGCCCCAGAGCCTGAAGGCGGGCGATAAGGACTCCCTCAAGCCCACCGTGTGCTTCCCCTGGCGCGCGTAGGAGGAGTGAAGGCTCTCCGGGGGACGTGATGCAGGTGCACGGGGTGGATACGGTCATCCTGCCCCAGAGCCTGAAGGTGGGTGACAAGGACTCCCTCAAGCCCACCGTCTGCTTCCCCTGGCGCGCGTAGGCTAGTGTCCCTGTCTCTCGCCAGGTGGGGTGATGCACCTTATAAGTGATGCACCTTAGTAGTGATGCATCTTTAACACTTTCGGGTCGACGCAAATGCCACAACCTATCTACTTTGGCCCTTCTCAGACCAACTGGCAGCAAAGTAGATACGTTGTGGCAGTATGGGCGGCGCACTGCTGAATCAACTCGACATTCCGGGCAGGCGGAGGTGAAAACTGTCCTGCCGATGCACCTGGATGGATGAGTGGGTGGGTGGGATTCAGGGTAGCTTTGAGCTCCAGTCTGACTGACTTGAGTGCAGGGGCAGCATCGTCTTAATACTGATATGTGTGGATAGCAGGCGGAAGTAGCCAGGGTGGTTCTAGGACTTGATGTGCTTGCGGTGCTATTGGTAGGTGAGAAATGCTTGCCTTTGTACCGCACTCCCTATTCATAGTGTAATACATGATACACTCGTATTCATACCTAATAGTGACTCTTGAATGGGGCCAAAGCCACATCCCACTCCAATCTGGTCTGCAGCTTTGTCGACACTGAACTGAATTTGTATGCGTGAAGCATAGGTGAAGCATCCTGTGTGCGCTTGTGATTGTTGAGAATATGTCTGTATGCTTTTATTATAAATGCACTGTTTGAAGTCTGCTTACAGGGGCTCGCCATAGCGAGGGATTTGAACCTGGTGGCGAGTCAACGGGCCGCAACCGAGCACAGCGGTTGCGACCCGCGTGGCAGCTCAAGAATCGAATCGACAACAGGAGTCATCATCTACAATATGCGAAACTGACCTGTGGGGCGCGGTATCCTGCCCTTGGTAACTGTTTGCCCTATGCGTTTGCTATATAACAGAATATAATGCCTTGCTCATATTACACAATTCTCAAGCTTGTGTCCGGCCTACCCTCGGCCGCTGCTTTGGCACCACGTTACAAGCCAGGAAAGCTACCTCTGAGTGACCAATAACCCCGCCGTAGGGACGTCGTTAATTCCTAGAGCTTCCGCTGCGCTCTATCGACTTCTTATTTCCAACAGTGATGACCTTCAAGAGTTCACTGGCAGCTGCAGACAGCAGCAGGCGGGCCGCAGGTGCAACCATGGAGAGTTCACTGACAGCAACAGGCATGCCGCACGTGCAATGTGCTGAGATCATAAGTTGATCGTGGCCTAGGATATACTCAGGAAGGTTCGCACGCAGAGAAGTGATGTTGGTGGGCCCTTGACCTCAATAGCATAGTGAATGTACATGCTTGAGATGGTTAAGACATGCAGATACAACGATATAAATAAGAGTACAGGGGAATATGAATCGACCCAGCTAGCCATGTACTCTAAGGGGTTCATTTCCTTATTCAAATACATTCCCAACTGTACGAACAGTTACGAAACTGTTCCCGCAGAAACCATCCTGCCTGCAGCTGCCTGATGTTGTCTGCTCCGACGGTTCAGATGCGTCCCAACTGTCTGACGCTTCGAGTCGTTTCCAACCGTCTCACGCTTCGCGTTCATTCGCGATACTGCGTGCTTCTCTTTACTGCGGTGAGGAGTGCACAGTAACATTCAAGTATTACTATTCGTAACACCCCGCTTCACTCCTGGCCGCAGCTCGACTTGACCTGCTTGACCACGCCGCTGAGTTCGGAGCAGTGCTGATACTGCTGGCGTGGCAGTCGCTTCGTGAGGAAGTCTGCTGCCATGTCACCGGTCGGGCAGTAGGTCAAGTTGACCTTGCCTTTGTCCACCTCATCCTTCATGAAGAAGTACCGCAGCGCAATGTGCTTGGTGCGGTCGACAAAACCAGGTTTGTTCGCGATGCGGATCGCGCTCTGGTTGTCGCAGTGCAGGCGAAAGTTCGTTGAGGCCGAATTTTCGCTTCCTGCAGCAGTTCCTGAAGGTAGAGACCTTCGGGAATAGCTGCTGTTGCTGCGATAAATTCAGCTTCCGCCGATGACAGGGCAACCAACTCCTGCTTCTGAGAGTTCTAGGAGATGGGGCCACTGGGCTCGAGGCGGAAGAGGAACCGTGTCCTAGACCGTCGATTGTCAGGGTGAGCGGCGTGATCGGCATCCACGTAGCCGACGAGACTGAAGGATGTGGTTGGGATGGTGGAATAACTGAGCCCGACATTGGGCGTGGAGATGAAGAATTGAAGGGCTCGTTGAAGATCTGAGAGATTCTCAGCCGTTGGTTTGCGTGAGTACTGAGCCAACTGGCTCGCAATGTAGTAGAGGTCGGGCCTGCAGGTAACAGATACGAAAAGCAGGCATCCCAACAGCTGCTGGTAAGTGTGAAGCCCAGCAGGGGACAGGACTTTGCTGTCAGGCTTGTGGTTGGGTTCTGGAGTGCGGTAAGGGGTGGAGAGTGGTGCAGGCGCAATGTTGAAGCGCTTGCTAAGCTCCTCCGCATACTTCGCTACTGAGAGATGAATGGCTTCCGGCGAGTAGGTGATGTTGAGTCCGAGAAACTGCTTCACGTCATGATTGCAGGAAATGTCAGCGCGCCCTGCGAGGCTTCTCTCAAACTGCTCGAGTAGTTCGTTGCTTGAGCGTGTGTAGAGAAGGTCGTCAACGTAGACCGTGAGGAGGATGTATTCGCCGCGGAAATCGCGGCGATACATTCCAGGATCGTGAGGCAGCTGCTTGAACCCGATTTCAAGCAGTATGTTGAGCAGATACTGCTGCTAGAGTCTCGGTGCCTGTTTGATCCCATAGAGGGACTTGCGTAGCTGACAGACACGTGGGTCTCCGCCGCCGTAAGTGTGTGGCTAGTCCACGTAGATCACGGCGTCCACTAATGCGTACAGGAACGCATTCTTCACATCGATCTGCCGAAGTGGTAGGTGTCGTGGGGCTGCGATGGCGAGGAGAATTCTGACGGACGTGTGACGGCTGATCGGTGCAAATGTCTGGTCAAAATCGATCCCGTGTCTTTGATCGTAGCCGCGTACCACCCAGCGTGCCTTGAATCGCTCAATCCTTCCGTCGGCTCCTGTCTTTACTCGGAAGACCCTTTTGTCGGAGAGAATCCTTCTCCCCTTTACTGCTGCACGGTCAACGAGCACCCAGGTGTCGCGCAACTCGAGTGCCGGGATTTCCGCATCCATTGCTTCGCGCCACTCCTTGCTGTGTGGTCCAGAAAGAGCTTCGCGTGGATTTCGGGGCTCGATGACACGTGGCGCCTTCGAAGTTGCGGTGTGGAGCCCGAGCAGCTGCAGTCCTGAGATAGTGCTGTCGTGGCGACGTTGCGGGATGACGTCCTGTACGTCGTCGTCATCGCTTTCTGGTTCAGGAGGCGCTGGTGGTGCCGTGCCTCTGCCGCTTCCGCCTGTTCCGCTTCCGCCTGCTGCGCCCATTCCTCCTCCCGATGAATCGTCGTCATCGTCGCCGCTGCGTCGTTCTTCCCACACGAACTCGCCCCTCGTGTCCTGCTCCAAGATTGCTGCAGCGGCTTCGTCTTCGGGCGTTGCGTAGGTGTGCCCATCGTTCGCGTAGACGCGGTTCGCGTTCGTTTCTTCGTCGCGGCGGAACTGGTCGAGGAAGAGGCACTCGTAGAAGATGACGTCGCGAGCGTGAGCGATTTTCTGACTGAGGAGGTCCAGCACGATCCACGCCTTGTACTCATGACTGATGCCGAGATGGATCCCCCAGCGAGCGCGGCTGGCGAATTTGCCGATGGTTGAGGTCGGCGGGCGTTATTGAACCATGCACCCCCATACGCGCAGCATGGAGGTATCCCCTTTGGTCCCGGTCAATTTGACGTGCGGGGACAGATTGCCGGTGATGGCGGTGGTCGAGAGTAGGTTGTGCACCCGCACTGCGTGGTGCATCGCGTAGGTCCAGTAGATCGGCGGCAATTTCGACTGCTTCATCAGCGCACGCACTGTCAGAACATTATAGCTTACTTTATTTGTGTAGGCTATAGTGGGGTATCCCATAGGGGGTACAACCCAATTAGGGTTTCCTATTTGTACTCACTTCGTTCATAGGCAATTCATTCTCGTTCTTTATTTCACATGGAATCAGAGCAGGTTCCCTCCTAGGGACTGCTTCTAGGGCCCACCGAAGCGCGCCCCGAGGCGCGTTTTCCTTTTTTTTAGCGACCCGTTGTGTTCCCCCCAGCGGCCCGTCGCGCCGCCCTTCCCTTAGCGGCCCCGCCGCCCTTCGATCGCGGCTCCGCCGCGCTTCCTTAGCGGCCCCGCCGCCCTTCGATCGCGGCCCTGCCGCCCCTCGATCGCGGCTCCGCCGCCCTTCCTTAGCGGCCCCGCCGCCCTCTGCTAAGCGGCCCCGCCGCCCTTCGAACGCGGCCCCGCCGCCCTCTGCTAAGCGGCCCCGCCGCCCTTCGATCGCGGCCCCGCCGCCCTCTGCTAAGCGGCCCCGCCGCCCTTCGATCGCGGCCCCGCCGCCCTCTGCTAAGCGGCCCCGCCGCCCTCTGCTAAGCGGCCCCGCCGCCTTGCTCACGCGGCCCTGCCGCCCTCTGCTACGCGGCCTCGCCGCCGCGTCGCCAGTGCAGCCGCCCGTGCCCAGCCGCCCGTGCAGCCGCCCGCGAGCCGTCCCAGCCGCCCGTGCGGCCACCCGTGAGTCGCCCGCGAGACGCCCGCGCCGCCCGGGCCGCCCGAGCCGCCCGCGAGACGCCCGCGCCGCCCGAGCCGCCCGCGTGACGCCCGCGCCGCCCGAGCCGCCCGAGCCGCCCGCGAGACGCCCGCGCCGCCCGAGCCGCCCGAGCCGCCCGCGAGACGCCCGCGCCGCCCGAGCCGCCCGAGCCGCCCGAGCCGCCCGTGCCGCCCCAGCCGCCCGAGGAGCCGATCTTCTGCTCCTGTGGGGCTCCTACTGCTCCTGGGCCGGCGCAGCTGCTGTGCTGCCGTGTTGCTGTGTCGC